TGTAGGTTTTGTTCACGGGACCTTCCTGTAGCTTTGCTGCCTGACCCCACTGTCTGTATTTAATGTCTTGGAGCCTCAGTCTCTTTATTTACAAGGACTCTTTCAGAAGATCATGGAGGGAGCCAGACAGTGACACAGAGATAAAACGCAATGCCCTGCGAGGCTGACTCACGTGGAAAAATCCTGGGTTTGCATCTGGATACTCAGTACTGTGTGCACACACGTGCCCATGACCCGGGCTTGGCCGAGCCTGGGTGGGTCGCAGTGTCAAGACCCTGTTGGGGATGTGCATGCTTGCTTTTTCTCATGGAATGAATGAATACATACATATACACCTACATACACACTCACACTCTTTTTTTAATGTCTTGAAATTTTTGCCATAGGGCATGTGCACTCAGCAGAGAGAAAGACAGAGAGAGGAAAGTGAGAACTCAACACACCCTGCCCCCAAGGGGTGGAGGATGGCCATGCCACCCTTCTCCTCCATTCTCTCCCTGGGATTTTGGGCACACACGCACATGTGCCTGGTGTGATTTTCAGGTCTCCAAGCCCAGGACTCAAACCACAGTCGGCCATGTGGAAGTCCAGTTTTTCTAACCTCTACACCACCTGCTGGCCCCCACACACTTATTTTTAAAAGTAAATGGAATGTCGTATTATGAAGAAACTACACATGGGTAAAACATTTTTTTGCACCAAAAGGAACTTCTGCTAACTTGTTATAATGTGCCAGGGCAGGATATAATGTGAGACCCTAAGAAGGATAAGACGTCAGTTTGAAAAGAGCCCCATTAGAGCAACATGAATTCTGCTAAAATTAAAGTAAGTTTATGGTGAAGCTTGGATAGAAAATGGAGAAATCACTGATGCTTTATGAAAAGTCTATGGGAACAATGCCCTATGAATAAATCAGCAGTTTACAAATGGGTCACTCATTTTAAGAAGAGACTAGGTGACTTTTGAAGATGATGCTCACAGTGAAGCCCGTCCACATCAGTATACGAAGAAAAAACTTAATCTTGTTCATGACCTAATTGAAGAGGACCAGAGCTTAACAGTAAAAATAATACCAACACCATAGACCTCTCCATTGGTTCAACTTCCCCAGTTCTCACTGAAACATTAAAGTCGAGGCAGCTTTGGGAACCAGCAGTTAGCGTAATGGCTATGTCGCTGGATTCCCACGTAGTCGACCGCGGTTCGTGTCCCGGACCTGGTGGCTTAAAACTCACGCCAGGCGCGTGTGCGTGCGTGCCCAAGATCCCGAGAGGAGAATGGAGGAGAGGGGATTGCGGCGTGACCATCCCCCCTGGGGGGTGATTTCTCGCTTTCTGTCTCTATGTCTCTCTCTGTCTGTCTGGTGAGCGCACGCGCCCTACAGTGAAAATCTCTCAAAGAAAAAAAAAAAAAAAAAAGTCGAGGCAGCTTTCTCCTCGGTGGGTGCCCAGACTGTTGTGTCCAGAGCAGCTGCGGACAAGAGCAGAGCTTTCTATGGAAATTCTAAATCAGTGGGGTCAGATTCTGACGCATTTCTTGGAAGAATTGCAACAGGAAGCGGTACAGGGCTTTACCAGTATGGTCCTGCATACAGAGCACAATAGTCACCGAGGGTGAAGTGGTCCAGTCAGAGCAGCAGGGGGCCAGTCAAGGCAGATGCTCAAGGCATTTTGCATTGTCGACTTTCTGGAGAGTCAAAGAATGATATTAGTAAAATCTGTTTATTAGGAGAGTTTTTGCTAACACCAGGAAGGCTTTACCAGAGCGAAGCTTCACCAGAGAGTGTCTTCACCACCATGACAATGCTCCTTCTCATTCCTCTCAGTAAACAAGAGCAAATTTTTTTCAGAGATTCAATGTAAAGTCACTTGGCATCTACCATTGAGTTCTGACTTGGCTCTTTCTGCCCTCTTTTTGTTTCCTAATCTTTTTTTCTTGGAGAGGTTTTTGCTATAGGGCACATGCGCTCGCCAGACAGACAGAGAGAGACAGAGAGACGGAAAGTGAGAAATCATCCCCCAGGGGGGATGGCCACACCGCAATCTCTTCTCCTCCATTCTCCTCTCGGGATCTTGGGCACGCATGCACATGCACCCGGCATGAGTTTTAAGCCACCAGGTCCGGGACGCGAACCGCGGTCGACTACGTGGGAGTCCAGTGACATGGCCATTACGCTAACTGCTGGTCCCTTGTTTCCTAGTCTTAAAAAGTCTTTAAAGAGTACCCATTTTTCATCAGAGAATAATGTAAAAAGGACTGCATGGCATGTTTTCATCCCAGGACTCTCAGTTCTTCAGGGATGGGATGAGTGACTGGTATCATCGTTTACAAAATTGTCTTGAACTTGTTGGAGCCGGTGGTGAGAAATAATTTGTATTTTATATTTTAATTCCATTTTCCATGAACATCTGAAGTCCCTTGATATAAAGCTGGGATGGTAAAGCCTCTTAACAGGGTGTCGTGAGTGTCACATCAGAAAGTTATCTGAGACCTGTTGGTACCTGGGATTGAGTGTCCCCATTTAATACTTGAATAACTGGATTTATAAATAACAAGACTTTTCTAAGTTGTAGGACCAAAAAGTATATGGGGCTTGCATGAAGTGTCCCCAATCCAAATTAAGTCTCATTACTGTTTAGAATAAGTTTGTAATCATTCCAGGATATTTTGAAAACCATACTGGGAAAATAGGTTTTTAAAATAGCATGTTTTTAAAAAAATCTTCTGCTACGTGTTTTATGGCCTTTCTATAAAAGGAAAGAATATTTTGTTATTTTTTGCTTGCTTCCTTTTAAATTTTACCTCTGCTGACAGTTTTTGGTGTCCAGAAAGTAACTGAGTTTCGTATCGTGACTTCAGTTCTCAGATCTTCTGAAGAGAGATGGCCAGAGTTGTACAAACCAAATGAAAGGTCCACTTGAGAGGGCTAAGTTGTTTCTCTGTTTTTCTGACAACCCTGATGGCAATAATGAAATAAATGTGACAGTTTCACCAAAAGTGTTTAGTGATGCCAAGCTGACTCATTCGGATTGTATATATGTTCATGAGAAATCTTTTTTTTTTTTATTAGACATTTTTGCAATAGGGCACGTGCACTCTCCAGAAAGACAGAGACAGGGAGACAGAAAGTGAGAAATCACCCCTTAGAGGGGATGGCTACATCACAATCCCTTCTCCTCCATTCTACTCTTGGGATCTCGGGCATTCACACACATGCATTCAGCATAAGTTTAAGCTCCCAGGTCCGGGACTCGAACCACGATTGACTACATGGGAGTCCAGCGACATAGCCATTATTCTAACTGCTGGCCCCCATGAGAAATCTTTCTACTTGTCTGTCAAAGTCAAATATTCTGAGATTTGTACTCCTAGAATATGACATGATTTTTCCTAAGTCTTTAAGCTAGTTTAGCTCCGCTGTGAAATTCCTGTATGTCAGTCTTTCTTTTTTGTATGTGGGTTTGTGGGTGATGCTGGCAAGGCGTGACCATTGGGATCAGATGCTACCAATCCCAGATTATATAAAGTAGTCATTAGCGTGAAGGTACTGGGTTGTCAGGAACGTCATGACACATTTTTGCATAGAAAACATAAAACAAAATTGTCACGACTTCCCCGACAACCGAGTAGAAGAGCATTCCTCTTTTTCCTTTCAAGACTTAGACCAGTTTGGTTGGTAGAAAAGAGAGAGCTTAGAATGCAGGGTAGGGAGAGTGTGGGGGAGGACGACGGGACGGGGACGTGAGAGAGGTGGCTGTTTAAGATGAAGCACGTGGACGGGAAACTTCCCTTCTTTCCAAATGTAAAACCGAAGAGAGGAGTTTTTCCTAACACACAGAAGACAAAGACGGGGCCTTCTGCGTGTGGCACTTGCACGTGGCCTGCAGAACTGTGCCTTATCCTCCCGAGTCCTGTGAGGGAGTGAACTGGCCTCACCTGGTCTCAGCTGAAACAACTCTAGCCCCTCCACGGTCCGTGCGGACTGCCCGTGCAGGTGGTTTGTCGTCATGGACTGCGCGGTGGATCTGATGACCTGCCTCGTCCTAAGTGTGCTCCGATGGTTGTTTTCCAGGTGGTAGAGATAAACGTGGAGGTCCCATTTTAACCTTTCCAGCCCGCAGCAACCACGACAGAATACGACAGGAAGATCTCCGGAGACTCATCTCCTACCTAGCCTGTATTCCCAGGTAAGCTCCGTGTGGCTGTGGCCCGTTGCTCTTGCACCCTGGTCCTGCGTGCTTCAGAAAACAGCAGAATGGCAGCCTGCTTCCAGCAGACAATGTCGTATGACACTGAATTCACGGTCTTGTGACCATTGCTGTCTTGTGTGAAGCACTTCTGGGTGCAGGGACAAGAAAGGTGTTTCGTACTGAAGAGCTCTGTGTGTTTACGGCGGGTGGAGGATGTTTCCTGTCTGCGAATGTCACCATTAAACTGTTCCCGTCATATTATTATTGAATATAGAATACTGCGCTGATGTCACCATAAACAGCCATGCCTGGAGTAGGGCTGGGTATGTTACGGGTGCTGGAGGGGTGGTTCCCAGGGAGGAAAGAGTACTCTCAGGTGTCTTCACTCCAGGGAGGCATGGCCGAAGGAGGGCACTAGAACGTCTCTGCAGTGAGGAGGCGTTTCCTAGGAGACCAGCTTAGGGCACGTGAGGGAAAGCGGGTCACAGTTAGGGTTAGAGTGGCAGCAGTCTGAAGGAGCATGTTATACCGAGAGTCACATGAGATGGGCGGTAACCGTGTGCAGGGTTTCAAAGGTCGGGGTAAACGGACTAAACCCCCCTCCACACTCCGTCCGTGACACCGCTGATCCCGTCAGGTTGGCACCAGCTGGAGAGCTCAGCTGTGCCCTGGGGAACGGGTCCTCGCTGGGGCTGCTAAGTGTCAGCTGTCAGACCTGCTGAGGAAGTTCTTGGTTTGTGCTGTCATGGTTCTCTTCGTGGAAAACCACCACTGCGTCCTCAGGGCCTGAGCAGTAGCGCTCTGCTCACACGCGTGGACGAGTTTTCCCTCTCTGCTCGCTCTGGTATTCCCTTGGACTGTTGAACTGTTGAAATCACCGCGTTGGAAAGGGGCCTGGATGCATTTACCGCTGTCACTTACAAATAAAATAGTTTATAGCTACCGGCAGCCAGCATCTTACTGAATGTCAGGATCTGTGCTGATGATGGAAAAGCAGAGAAAGACAACG